GAAGCTCCAATGTGTATAAGGGTTAGAATGCAACAAGGAAAATCATGATTTATTCGAGTACAAGCAGAGATGTCACCTGACTGTATGGTGACGTCACGTCATGTTATGATAAGGGAACAGTTATAACCGTGTTTAAATGTCCAACTGAAAACGAGCGATCGTGATAATGCTATCTGGCTACTCATATCAGTACGCACTGTTCAGTGGACAAAGAATGTCATGACCGTTTTGAATTATTCCTAGAAATAAGGAGGCAAACATGGAAAGGTATTGGAAACTGAGGAAAACTGAGTATAAATGTTATCAGGTGTGGATAACTAGGACTTGCTGTGTTGGACACTAGCATAAACTGCGTACCACCTTTTTGTGGAGGAAATGTCATGACTTGTGTTCATGTGGTAGCTGTTTCATCTATACAGGATATATCAACCTGAATGGTGTGTTGGCATAAGAGCCGTAGTACTAAATTCACCAGATTTGTCCTGGTTTTGCATTTTCCTCATTACACTTGTGTTCTGGAATACATAACTCAATGATATGCAAAACCTGAACAGTGTTTCATGTGTGAATTAATTGTATTGGGAAAAGCACATGAAGCATACTTTTTCAGAGTAATTCATCAATCATAGTCCGCATATTCTTTTATTACACAATAGGTACACAATTTGTGTGAGATGGGCTGGATTATGAGACAATTGACATAAATGTTTGTTTGTTTTAACGCTACACTCGGCAATATTCGGGTACATGACGGCGGTCTGCAAATAATCCAATCTGAAGCAGACAATCCATTGATTGACATCATGAGCATTGGTCGCCGTAATCGTGATGAGACCTCAAACCTGATTATTGCTTCTTTAGATTACCATGTCCTGTATATTGTTCTGTTTATTTTCATTTGTCATATTGACAGCTGTTTCAATTCTTTCCTCAATACGCCTACTACGCCAACGACTAATATGAAATGTGACATGTGCAAATCTATTATCATATTAAATTGACCAGACAACAATGTGTAATTGAACACTGGGGATTGGGTGGCAACATTGTCAGCCTGGCTGATGGTCGTCATGTCGCGACGACCTGGAGCATTACGTTGGCTGTCAACCAACTGACACAGACGTAGTTGAGTGAACTAATAACATCTGTGTAGAAACGAATCACAGTGAAATCTATCCGTCATAGTTAAGGATTTTCATGAATTTTCTCTCATCAGACTGATATGGTGAGTGATGTCGTAATACTTAAATAATATACACCAGTACATACGTGTAGTATTAGCAAAGGGTGTTCATAAAGTAGGTCACAGCATTAAACACGATGAGTAACTGCAGAAGGTAGTCTGAACGTTCCTCATCTTTATATCACACTTTCCGTTCGTGTATATTGTACTATATTTTAAAGAAAACTGAAGTGTCAACAAAACCAATCTTCCGTAGATTGCGAAATATTTCCATTAAAGCTCGTTTACCCCTTGATGCTAGATCTGAAACACACTGGTTCATCTTTGATGTATATGAAAATAAATACCCAAGATATCTATAGGAGTTGGCGGTTGATAAACGTTTGCCTTTATAGAACCATTACTCATGAACAGATAGCCGCCCTCCTCGTCTAAATACAACAACACTCGTTTTATCTAAATTTACCGTTAATCCCTTTGAATCTGCAAACTTTTCAAGGTTAATAAGTTGGTTCTGTAAACCAGTTACTGTGTCAGAGACAAGAATAACATCATCGGCAAACAATAATGAGAATATTTCAAACAAATCATGAAATAATTGTACGTCGTGTTTCCCATGTGATGAAACATCATTTGACAGTTCATTGATGAAAACGGAAAATAATAGAGGGCTTAATATACAGCCTTGTTTAACTCCGTTAGGACAATCAATATATTCTGTATAAATGTTATCATTACACCTCACACACGCTTTCACGGAGGCATAGATTCCCTTCAGTGCTCTCATCATCCTTCCACCCAAGCCTACATCGTGCAGACAATCTCATAGCTTAAGGTGATTTACTGAATCAAACGCTTTTTTAAAATCCACAAAAGCAACGTATACTTTCCCTTTTCTTTTCAATAAACATTTGTTTACAATTGCAGGAGGAGAATATCCCTGTCTGAAGCCTGCTTGTGTCTCGGGTAGTTTACTTCTTATATTAGCCCAGTTTGAAAGTCTAGAGTTTAAGACACTTGTTTATTCATTGTACACAATAGAGATATCCCTCTGAAGTTATCTTGATTATTTTTGGTACCTTGCTTATGTAGTGGAAGGATGATAAACTTCGTCCAGTTCTCAGGAAATAATCCAGAATCAAATAACTTATTGAACAAATTACGTAGGAAAGGAGTTACAATGTATTACATTTTCACAACATTTTAACATTTCAAAGACCACGTCATCAACACCAGGGGATTTGCCATTCTTTAAACGATTTATAGCCTTGTGGATTTCTGAGTCGGTAATGGGCGATTCCAAAATACACTGGTCAATCTCATCAAGTATAAAATCTTCATCACATTGACACTCGACTTCAGCATGTAATACATCTGTACACTGAAAAACGTTTGTAAAATAATCAAACCAGCACTCTTTACTTATGTTATTCTTTGTTTCCCTACGACCTGATATACTCCGTAACTCTTTCCAAAATGTGGTTGAATCAGATAGAGATAGCTTTAGTTTTGTTCGTGTCATAAATGGATAGTTTGATTTTGCTGTTCTGCAAACATGTTTATTCTTGTTTCTCGTTTTACAAAAGATTAACTTATTTTCGTTAGATTTCTTCTCTTTGAATTTCCTCATGTATCGCCTTGCCTCCCGTTTTGCTCGTCTGCATTCACTATTATAAAACCCCGTATTTCGGGGTGAACTGTTAATACAAGGTACCTTCATATAGTTAGTGGCACAAAGAACAACATTAACATTTTTTTCATGGGCAAGATTGAAATCAAAAGTTAAAAGATCGATAAGCTCGTTGAAGGATGGACATAGATTTGTTATACTTCCTATAAACACATCACGCTTGCGAGGGTACCCGTTTTGGTGGGAAGATAATCATCACTTGTAGATACTTTGGGGAGAAATATGTCCAAATGTAGACATACAGGAATATGTTTTGACTCAACTCTTGTTTCCACAAACATGGATTGAAAACAATTGTGAACATTGACTGAACCTATACATCCTTGACGCTACATCCTTGATATGCTATATAAGTGAAACTACCCTCTTTGTCTCCTGTTGTCCTGCCGTTGAAGATATATAAATCATGAGTGAAACACAGTTCCAGTAGCTTACGACCAAAAGCGTTTACAAAACTATCACATGACTGTCCCTTTTCTACTGGAACGGGTGGTTCATCGGGGAAAGCTGCATTGTTGAGGCAAGGTTGAATACGTGTCTCTGGTGGGTTGTTTCCCCCGCCTACACGGGCATTCAGGTCCCCACAGATGAAGACCTCACAGTCTAAGTCACTATGCTCAATCAACCACTGATCAACCAATTCAATGGCGGTTGCCTTTTCAGCTGCAACGTAGAAGGTTGAGCCGATGGGTGGAACATACATTCCAAATAATAACAGTTTTTTGCCAAGAGTTGAGAAATTATCAAATTTAATGCATACGACATTGTTTATATCTAATTCAATCTGTTGGCAGCGCAGGTCTATACAGGTCTTAACCAACAACGTTACACCGCCTGACAATCTACCAGCCTCAGCTAGCCTATGAGCTTTTGCAATATATGTATCATAAGCTGACAGCTGAGGTATGGATAATGCATAGTCAATAAATGTTTCAACTAGACATATAATTTCGTAACCTTTTATGTAATCTAAAAAGTCTAAATCATCTATTTGGTAAGAAAACCTTCAATAGTCCATGTAACTATTTTGAAGTTTGATATGGAAATGTAATGTTTTGAACCTGACTATTCGGAAGTGATGGTAGGGACTGGCCCGTATTCCTAGCTACTGTCCACGGTAGCACTGTGCTCGGAATTGCTGTTGGGGGCGGAGTAGTCAGCACTGGGAGGTTGGGCATTCCGGGAAACAGGAGCAGTAATGGTTTGTTTAGCATATATATATATATATATATATATATATATATATATATATATATATATATATATATATATCCGTGTCGATTCGTGTCTGGGTGTACCAGGTTTGGTGACCAGTCTACCATTTGTGTAGTAGGCATCTAGGCCTTTGTCCCTCAGATCAGCTAGAGTCTGTCTCTGGTGCTTGGTTAGGTCGTTAGCAACGCCTATAGCAACACTCCTCAAGGTATGTCTGTGCTTTAGTACTATAATCTTCTCCTCCGTCAGAGAAAACTTAGCAATGAGAGGGCGGGGTTTTTGGGTTGCGGCTGTTTGACCCCTATCCAATGGGCCCGTATAATATCGGGGCGTTGCCAATACTTTGTCTTCACATTCTCATTGAGCATAGTAATAACTTTATCCTTGCACATTTCGAAGGTCTTATCAGCTTCTTCAGGCACGCCATAAAATACTACGACTGAAGGCCTCTAACCTGTCGATATCAGAGTCTGGACGAGATACCTTGTCTTCAAGGTGTTTAACTTTCTGATAGAGTGCATCTATATCACTGTAGATAGTCTCCTGTTCAAGTCCAATCCTTTCTACCTCTGAGCGCACTTCTGAAAGTTAGTTTTCAAGTAATGAACACTTGCCGCTAAGGTCAGTTAGTTGTGATTTAATTACACTCATCTCGGTAAACACAGACTGTCGGAAATCCCGTAGTTCTGCGAGGATTTCTGATTTAATCTCAGTCTTTACATTGTTCAAATCTTCCATAGTAACAGGCCCTGGGTTGGTCTCAACATCACCAGAAAGTAGTATATGGAGTCTCGTTACATATCCTGCGATGCGAAAACCGTCACAGTTGAGTAATGAAGTCACAAAACATGGTCAACAAGGGATAAACACAGTGACGTCACATACACTTTCGTGTTCATGTGGTAAATAACGATGAAGATCCTCAACGGCGTTAGAGAGAACTTGTTTGTTAGCCGACAGCATGAGGTGGAGTGTAAGCAAGACCATGCAGACGGATACACGCAGCGGTGTATCAGAGCACGACGTGTGAGGTGTGTACTCAGCGTCCATGGCGATATGTCTCACCTGTCGTGTCCCTGGAGGGTGGGAAAACTGCCCAGTCCTGGCTCTGTAAGTCGCAAGATCGATCATCTTCTCTTCTCCAATCTTTCTAGGTATACTTATCTATTTCATGTACCAACTTTGCATTTTGTAAAGTAGCGCTCATGAACGCATCATATGTGACATCATCTTTTTCTTCAAGGTGGGTCAACATCAAAGCCCCTCAGGCCCCTTAAAACCCGAATTAAAGAACATCAAAGCTCAGTCTCCAAAGATGACTCTAAATCAGCTCTATCAGACCACATCCGTGACAACCCAAGCCACAGCATCCAGTGGGAGAGAGTCAAAGCCCTCACCACTAACCTCAAACACTTCAAAATCAGAAATCTACAAGAAGCCATCAACATAAAAGACTCCAGCCGTCAATCAACCGTGACCAAGGCTATTACATACCCGGCTTACCATTAACTCATCCAAGAGCCCAATCAGTCATAATCCTGTAGTTTATATTACTGGCTTCACTCTTTTGATTATGTTACTGACTTCACCGGCAATGTCTTAACAAATAACTACCCCTTTTGTGTACATAATAAGCTTCTCCAGTCCAGTATAACTACATCTACTATACTGTATAAACATTGCCTCCTATCGGTATATATACTTGTCAATACTCTGTATATCACTTGCTTGATAACGGTGTTAAAACGTCGCCCTTAATTGTAATAAAGAAGTTGTCCATCCATAAATCTTATCCTTACTTAGCACTCCAACTTCTAAATGCCTATCAAAGAAGTTGTCATTAATTGGTACTCATTGTGAACATCACTTCTAAATGGATCACTTCTCGTTATGGTTCTATAGTTCGCGTTTTGTTGGTTGTGAGTATATTAAATTGTTTTCCCCCCAAATGAATAACGTCACACCGAAAATAATTTCAGTCCAATCAAAGAACATTTTTCCCCAAATGAAACATGGCATATTATGAGTATCAGTATGGGTAAAGACACGAAATAATGTTCTACGCATTGTTGCACAAGTATCAAGTGTTAGGCTCTGTATGTTATGAGCTTTTTGCGCCTGCCCATGTAATTGTTGTGTTGGTGAGTCAGTAGGTGTCAGTGCTTCCCAAAGCTGCATATGTAGGACTTGGTTTGTGTTGAGCTGCCGATGTAATTGTTGTGTTGGTGAGTCAGTTGCTGTCAGTGCTTCCCACAGCTACATGTATCGCACTTGGTTGTTGTAGGGCTCCCCATGTAATTGTTGTGTTAGTGAGTCAGTAGGTGTCAATGATCCCCACAGCTACATGTGTAGGTCTGGGTTGTTGTTGGGCTGCTCATGTAATTGTTCTGTTGGTGAGTCAGTACCTCACAGTGCTTCCTACAGCTTTATATATAGGACTTATTTGTTGTGGGGCTGCCCATGTAATTGTTGTGTTGGTGAGTCAGTAGGTGTCAGTGCTCCCCATAGCTACATGTGTATGAATGGGTTGTTGTGGGGCTTCTCATGTAATTCTTGTGTTGGTGAGTCAGTAGGTGTCAGTGCTCCCCACAGCAACATGTGTAGGACTGGGTTGTTGTAGGGCTGCCCATGTAATTGTTGTGTTGGTGAGTCAGTAGGTGTCAGTGCTCCCCATAGCTACATGTGTATGAATGGGTTGTTGTGGGGCTTCTCATGTAATTCTTGTGTTGGTGAGTCAGTAGGTGTCAGTGCTCCCCACAGCTACATGTGTATGAATGGGTTGTTGTAGGGCTGCCCATGTAATTGTTGTGTTGGTGAGTCAGTAGGTGTCAGTGATCCCCACAGCTACATGTGTATGAATGGGTTGTTGTGGGGCTTCTCATGTAATTGTTGTGTTGGTGAGTCAGTAGGTGTCAGTGCTCCCCACAGCTACATGTGTATGAATGGGTTGTTGATAATGTCATAAGCAGGAAGAAAGCCTACGGGCCACGAGGAAGTGGGGATTTTCCCTGTCGAAATGTGATTAGGTTATTTCATTTTACCCACCTCACATCAACCCATTGCACATAAACCCAGTCCTTCTGTTGTCGATGTCATGAAGAATGGAAGAATTATTTGCGACAATGCGTTGACATGAAAACATGTGTCTGTGGGCATCGTCAAAAGGAGTGAAAACAACATAACAATTGACGTGAAATTAAAAACATAATTCTGACACTACTAGCCAAACATGTAATAGTGAAAGGTAACCAGGCTTGTTAGATTATATTTCCTTGTTGAGTCAAACTGCAGGGTCGACAGTTGAACTGAACTACAGACCGTGACATTATGGGATACTGTAGTTACTGGTTTCAATAGCTCACTGCACAAGGAAATATTTCCATTGTGAAATCTAGGTCACTTATCTGCAGGTTTTACACATGCAGCTATGTCAAATACAGATACAGACGTATAGCAGGAAATAAATATTTGCATTTGCCTCTGAAACAGAATATCTAAGGACAATTAACGATTAAAATTTGGATAAATTAAACGTGTTTGAAGAATTCATCGTAACCAATACAGAGAATGTTAAGTGTTGATAGCAACAATTCTAGTTTCATATACCAGTTGATCGGTAGAGCAGGAAGTAAAGGTACACATGTGTATTGTCCTCCGTTTGACAAAAATTCCCTGTGGCTAAGAGATCGACCATTGGTATTTTTGGTTTGGGGATGAGTGTTAGCGTGGGGGTGGGAGAGGGGATGAGTTGGTCTGGGATTTCGTTTTACAGCTACAGAACCAGATATGTTTTTATTTAATACTATCAGCCTGATTTTTTAAAGAAAAACACCTTGTGGTGGGCAATTTTTCCTTGTTTTAACAGTTAGGATATGGAAGGAGGGGATCTGGAAACATCCCTGCTTTTCACAGGCCATGACAACTCAAAAACAAATGACGCGACAGCACTGCAAAGTCACATTACAAGCACTTGGTCATAGGAGCTTATAAAACATGGTGAAATCCATTTCAGAACACGCACAGTTCAAGAATCCAGTGTCAGGGCCACGCACAGTTCAAGAATCCAGTGTAAGGGCCACGCGCAGTTCAAGAATCCAGTGTCAGGGCCACGCACATTTCAAGAATACAGCGTCAGGGCCACGCACAGTTAAACAGAACAGCGTCAGGGCCACGCACAATTCAATGATACAGCGTCAGGGCCACGCACAATTCAAGAATACAGCGTCCTGAAATGATGAAATTGACAGCAAACAAAACGAATCCCTCATGTCAGTCATATGCCATTTCCATTGTCAATCAACAGATTATTGTTGAACCACACAGATCAATGTGATGGAATACGTCCATACACTAATAACCTTGAATCACCATGAATAACTCTCACTCGGAATCATACAATTTGAAATAGTCTTAAATTCACCTGATACATTACAGTCATATTTCTTTAAAACGACAAAACATTGATGCAAATTTCTCACTTGCCAGCGTCGAACCTGCCTCGCCCATCGCAATCTCAGGCGTCGATTTTGAGCAGTCAGTACCATTCCTCTGAAAGCACGATACGTTAGGAGTCCAGCAGCACGAAGTCGTCGTAGTACTGTACATTGGCTAACGGGATGTCCCAACGCTGTTGCTGCCGTCGCAGTCGCCGCTACGAATCTGTTTCGCAGGTGAATGAGCCTTATCTGACCGTCTTCCAGTGGTGTTGTTACACGGCGTCGTCCGGTTCTAGGTCTGGCCTGTGTCCCTCCTGCCTGTACCGTTGAATCAGCCCGGCTACTGTCAATGGTGTACAACCAAACCTTCTGGTAATTTGAACCTGTGTTGCCCCCATTTCGGCCATACCGATGGCTCTCTCTCTCTCTGCTCCTGTGACAGTTGTGGCATTTCTTTTGTGAGCTTTCATCACGTGTGGTTATACCCTGCAGACGAACGCATTTATACAGCTAACTTTCACGTGCAGTTTATGCCATAGCCGGAAACCTGTTTCACCATTTTTTGGTCACCACACGAGCGCCGTCAAAGGTGGCGCGTTCGGGTGAGGTGTCTTTTGGTACCTGTTCCTGGGCAGTCATATTCCCAATACCCACTTTCCACTAGTTATCGCTGTTTTTAGGAAAATTACAAATTGCCAACCAAAACTTTCTTTTGCCGCTTAGTTTATATTGCCATCAATAGTGTACTACCACATATATTGTGTTGCCATTGTTGTTGTTTTTGCAGTTATTTGTTTTGATTTGTAAACCTAGTTAATTGTGTAATGAAAATTGTTGATTGTATACCATTTGTTGATTGTTTGTTGGATTCACACCAAATTCATTTTGATGCATATTTCTGGGTTAACACATTGTTTCAATTAGGGAATCGACACATAACAGGACAGGGTCCGATCGTCGGTTTCCGCTCACCTCAAGCCACCTCAGTAGATACAGGAAGTGGGAACCTGGACAAGAAGTGGGAACCTGGACAAGAAGTGTTAATCACGAACTTGAGGGAAACACGACAGTAACATGAATACAACGATGAGTGAGTGAATAGTATTTAGTGCCGTAGTCAGCAATATTCAGCCTCGTCACCACATCATCTTAATAATCGAGTCGAGACCAGACAAACCAGTGATTGAACGCATGGACAACAATCCATGCCGAGTCACATTGTGACCTTCTTCCCATATAGCGGCAATCTTGAATGTAAAACTGTGATACGATGTTGCAACCAAGCTACTCGTGTTCATTAGCATAAGTACTTTGCAAACACCGATAATGAAGTTTTAGTATCATACACACATTATAATTATTTCAGTGAACAGAAAATACAAATCATTTTAAGTTTGCCACAAACACAACGTCCTATGTTTGGTACGTTCCTAATATGCGTGACCTTCGCCTTGCCACACTCACCCACGTCACCTTGTCGGACCGTTGGGCAGCGCTACACACTCACATTTGCTGGCGTCAAGTGCTGGTCTTCCCATAGTGTTTTGTACCAGCAAGACTGTCTAAAGAGTTGATGCGTTTGTACAACGGTATCT